AGCCAGAGAAATTCCAGAACAAGACCAACGGCATCACGCCGCGGCGCTGGCTCCTGCTCTGCAACCCGGGGCTGGCGGAGCTCATCGCCGAGGTAATGGCACGGGGGGACCCCCAAACCTCCCCGACCCCCAGGGACACCGCCCCAGGGGACACCACTCCAACCTCAGCCATTGACATCTTTTAAATGGTCAAGCTCTGTTTGCTCTTCCACCCAAGTCTCCTGTTCCCGCTTTCCGAGCACCGCGGGCCGTGCCGGGTGGGAGCAGCGTGCCCGACGAAGGCATCCTGCGGTCAGCCCCTGCCTCTGCTCCTGTTGCAGAAAATAGGGGAGGACTACGTGCGGGACCTGAGCCAGCTGACGAAGCTCCACGAGTTTGTGGATGATGACCTCTTCATCCGTGAGGTTGCCAAAGTGAAGCAGGTGAGGGATGTGGGCAAGGGGGGACATGGGCAGGAGGAGACGTGGGCTGGGAGCTGACCTGCTCCTTGCCCTCACCCAGGAGAACAAGGTGAAGTTCGCGCTGTACCTGGAGAAGGAGTACAAGGTGAAGATCAACCCTTCCTCCATGTTCGACGTGCACGTGAAGAGGATCCACGAGTACAAGCGGCAGCTGATGAACTGCCTGCACATCATCACCATGTACAACCGTAAGCCACCGCGCGCCCCGAGGGGACCGGCTGCCCTGGGGGGGCACGAGCCTCCCCGTCCCCCGGCGCTGTAGCTAAAACAGAGGGTGACACCACGCCGCTGTCTTCTCCAGGCATCAGGAGGGACCCTGCGAAGCCGTTTGTGCCGAGGACAGTGATCATTGGGGGCAAGGTAAGTTGGCTCAGGGCTTCTAGGCGTTGTGGAGGAAGTCCTTGAAGATTCCCTAGGGAATTTGGATGCAGGTGTTCTCATGGGGTTGTGTCCCCGAAGCCCTCTGGGAAAGCCCTGAGGTAGCACTCGTTGGCTTCAACCCCAGCGAGGTTCTGCTGCCTGTGATCATGCAAGCCCCAAAAAACTCGGTGGCACAACACACGAGTTGGATGAGGGAGAGGAGCAGGGCTGAGCGGGTGCTCCTCACTTGCCTCTGGCACCAGCCCTCCAGGTTCACCCGTGGCTTTTCTCCTAGGCTGCCCCAGGATACCACATGGCTAAAATGATCATCAAGCTTATTAACACTGTGGCTCAGGTGGTGAACAATGACCCTATCGTGGGGAGCAAGCTGAAAGTCATCTTCCTGGAGAACTACAGGGTCTCGCTGGCAGAGAAAGGTAGCCCATGTGGGGCACAGTGTGGGTAGGGGATCTCCACCCTGTGGCTGTCCACCAGCCCATGGCTCCATCACTGTGAGACAGCAGATGTAATGTCCTTCAGCACGATGCAAACCCAAAGCTGGTCACCATGAGCCCCTTGTGTCCATGTGTTTCGTTGGCAGTGATCCCAGCTACTGACCTGTCGGAGCAGATCTCCACAGCAGGCACCGAGGCGTCGGGTACGGGGAACATGAAGTTCATGCTGAATGGGGCCCTGACCATCGGCACCATGGACGGAGCCAACGTGGAAATGGCCGAAGAGGCTGGAGAAGAAAACCTGTTCATCTTCGGCATGAGGGTGGAGGACGTCGCGGAGCTGGACAAGGAAGGGTGAGGGCTGGGGATGCCACGGGGGTGCCATCACAGGCAGCTGGAGCAGCACCGTCTCATATCAACCCTTCCCTGCCAGGTACAACGCCCAGGAGTACTACGACCAGCTCCCTGAGTTGAAGCAAGCCATTGACCAGATCAAGAGCGGCTTCTTCTCCCCGAAGGAGCCTGACCTCTTCAAGGATGTAGTCAACATGCTCTTCCACCACGACCGGTAAGGCCTGGGATGCCATCCGTGCCCTGGGTTAGGTCTTTCCACCAAACTCTCCGTGCCTGTGCAGAACATCCCCTGCACCAACCATCCATCCTCTGGCTGATAAGGTCCCATTTTCTGGCCTTGATGTTGCGGAGGTGGAAGAGCAATTGGTGCTCCCCGGGTACAAAAGGCTCTGCACATATGGCACTTCACGCTCGCCATGATGAAGCCTGGGGTACATTATGGCCAAGATGCGTTTGGGTGCTGAGCCCTCAGCAGATGGTAGATGCTTTTAGGTATCTCAAGGGCTTTCCTGGCCGGAACACTAAGCAGCCAAGAGCCGTGGGCATTTGCATTGGGGAAACGTTTTCCCAGTGAGCCGATGCGGGGTGTGCCCTTCCCAGGATGCCCGTCCAGCAGCACCCGGGGTCCTGCAGGGCTCTGTACAAACAGGGCTTGGGGAGGGGGAATTTGTCTGAAGCACTTGTGTTGGAGGAAGCCCCGGACCTGGCAGCCCGAGCCCCATGTGCTGCGCCCCCCGGCCACTGCCGTGCTCCTACCTCCCACTTCTCTGCTGTCGCTGACTCCCCCCCTTTCTTCCTTCCTACAGGTTTAAAGTTTTTGCAGACTACGAGGCTTACGTCAAATGCCAGGAGAAGGTCAGCAAGCTGTACCTGGTGAGTGCCAGCCTGGGGACGAGGAGGGGGAGCTGCTGGGGGGGGCACAACATCCCATCCCGGAGAAGGGGTCTGGTGGGGCTGTGCACATAGATGGGTTCCTGGTGAGGAAGCTCCTGCTGCAGGAGGTCTTGGGGCCAACATAGCACCCATGGGCGCAAGCCTCCGGCTGCACCGTCCCACCACTCTCCTTGCAGGACACCAAGTCATGGACCAAGATGGTCATCAGGAACATCGCGGCAGCTGGCAAGTTCTCCAGCGACCGCACCATCAAGGAGTACGCCCGGGACATCTGGCACGTGGAGCCCTCCGACTTGAAGATCCCACCACCCAACGAGCCCCGGGACGCGGTCGAGGACAAGACCCCCAACGGCATGGCGGCGTAGGGGCACGGAGCCGGAGCTGGGGGCTGCCAGCGCGTGCGTTGTAAAATTGTCTCTGCTGTCTGGGCGCTGCTGTTGGCTTTCCTACGGACGGGGAAGGGGGGGAATTTTTATAACGTTAAGCGTCGTGCAGAAAGAGAAACCGCGTCACCCTGTTGCTTGCATAGGTGCTAAAAATAAACGTGCCGTTGGAGTCCAAGGGGCTGTCTGCCGAAGCCTAAAATTAGGGATTGGGTTCGCTTGTGCCAGCTTTACCGCAGGAGGAGGGTGCGAGGTGGGGGGCAAACTGCTGGGGCTCAGTGCAAGAGAGGGGGCGCAGCTGGGCACAGCTGGCTGAGCCCTTGCAGGCGATGCTGAAGCAGGACTTGGGGTGCAGCTCTTGCCAGTCCTGCCAAGGGGGTTAAGGGGTGTTTGCAGTCAGGCCCCTGCACCCCACCGCTGCCCCACGTGATGCTCTGGGTCACAGCTTGCACGCTCCTGTCCCAGGAGCAGCTCCCAGCACTGCCTCCATCCCCCCAGGAACGTGCAGTGGGCGAATTGGGAAGTTTCTCAGTAGTTTTTATTAGGTACAGTAGTGAGTTCAGTGCCAGGAGGGGGTCCTGGTGTTGGAGGGAGCGCTCGTGGTTGCTGCACGCGGCAGCCAGCATCACTTAATGTTCAAGAAGTCTCTGCAAGAAGATGGGACAAACGTGAACGCTGGATTATTGACCGTCCCCTGCTGCTTCAGAGCCCCATTTCTGATCCCTGGTGGTGGGTCGGAGCTGGGCTCAGAGCAAAGCTGCATCTCTGTGCCCAGGGCAAAGAGGAGCTGGGGTGGGCTGTCCCCAGGGCCACCTCCCGTGACACCCAGGCTGAGGACGAGGAGCAACTGGAGCTCAGAAACACGCTAGCAAGCATGGGAGGAAGAGGAAGGAGGAGGGGGAAGGCACTTTGCATGGTTGTGGCACGGAGGATGCACCCATGGAAGAGGCCAAGGCTCATCCTATGGTCCCCCACACTCCACCCCCATTTCTGCAGAGCAGCACTTACTTCACCAGGGCGGGCAGCTCCGGATTGAACGAGATGTAGTCGTGGCCCAGGCCCAGCTTTTCAGGAAAGGTAATGAACTTCACCTTGGTTTTGTCCTTGTAGGCGCTGCGCGCCGTCTCAAAGAGCTGCCATGGGGCAGGAGTGCGGTTAGCAGGGTGCACCTCAAACCCTCTACTGGCACCCTAGGGCCAGCCACCCCTTCTCCCTCCCCTTCAGCCCCTCCAGAACCAGGCTATTAACCCATTAAAGCCCGTGCGGAGGCAACGGTGGTCCTCACCTTGCGGCCCAGGTGCAGAGGCAGCACAGCATCATCTTCTGCGTGCAGGATGAGGAGCGGGCACGCCAGCACCTTCACGCTGCGGGCAGCAAGCACAGCACCTAGGAGTCATCCCAGAGCCGACAGACCCACGAGAGCCTCCCTGGGTGCTGCTGAAACCCCCACAGCACCCCGACCCCCACCCCAGGTGCTGCCTTTCAGAGACACCCCAGCCCATGGGTGGCTCAGGGCACCTGAACTGCCCTAGCACCAAGCACCCTAATAACCTTAAACCCTCGACACAGGGTGCTCAGGCTTCAAAACACCTGCAAAACAGGTGTTTTTTAGCAAAGTCACCCACAAACACGGCAGGGGAAGGACCCTGCTGCCACAAGGTGGTGGGACGTGAGCACGTAGTGCCCCAAAACAAAAAGGATGTTGGTTTGTGGACTTCGCTCCGTAGTAATACCAACATGTGAAGTTATGCAAATAAAAAGCCACTAATAAAGCATGAGTAAGCTGGGCAAACACAAATAAGAGCGCAGGGATGGCATGGTGTGACATGTCCAACCCGCCCCTCCTTGGCCAGGGGGGTCCCAGCATCCTCCCCCCCCCTACCCAGGGATGGCTGCGCCCTGTCCCTGTGGGCACTCACTTCTCATCGCTGCGGAAGAACATGTTGCCCAGGGCTAGCGAGTCCAGAATGAGATACTCAAAACCTGGGAACTGGCGGTAGATCTACCAGGGAGAGAGTTGGGGGGGATCTAAGCCGTGGCTTTGACGGCTGCACCCCTCCTATGCCAGGGAGAGTCCCCCGCTCGTCCCCGCTGCGAGCAGAGCCCCTGGGCTCACCTTGGTGATGGGGATGTTGGCGGCCGCGTCGCGGACGTTGGTGTAGGACGCCTCCAATACTCAAAACCTGGGAACTGGCGGTAGATCTACCAGGGAGAGAGTTGGGGGGGATCTAAGCCGTGGCTTTGACGGCTGCACCCCTCCTATGCCAGGGAGAGTCCCCCGCTCGTCCCCGCTGCGAGCAGAGCCCCTGGGCTCACCTTGGTGATGGGGATGTTGGCGGCCGCGTCGCGGACGTTGGTGTAGGACGCCTCCAGGACCACAGCATCGACCTGGACCCCTGAGGGCAGAGGGGGCGAGAGCAGGCATTCCCCCCCCCCCCAGGCTGCCGTCACGCTCCAGTCCCAGGCAGGACAGACGATGAGGCCAAGATGCCCCCGTCTCACTAAGGAGCATGAGGATGGCCACTTGTCCCCACTGCAGGGGCTGAGCCCGCTGCTCGAGCAGAGAGTGACGGAGCTCCCCAGCTGCTCTGTGGCCCCCCTAGATGTGGCCAGTGATGGGGAGACCCCCAGGGGGACACCACGCAGGGCCAACCCAGCCACGCTGGCCCTTACCTCGCTCCTCCTGCAGCTTCCTTGCTACGTTCGTGGCAATCCTGTGAGAAGAGAGGTGACAGTGAGGGGGAGCAGCCACCATGTCCCAGCAGGGTGCACAGCACCCTCAGACCACCCCCTCCTCCTTGCCTGCTGGGTTTTGCTTTGCAGGTGGCTCCACCAAGGAGCTGCTCCAACCCCTTGGTCCATCCCGGGTGGCACCAGCCTGGCAGCAGGGTCACAGCCCGGGGAGCGGCTGTGGGCTCCGGCATCAGCTGGCACCCATGGAACGTCCCCTCACTCACCGGGCCCTGCACCTACCCCGTCCCCAAGGAGTGCCCCCAGAAGAGGACACTGCTGTTCCCACTCCGTGCTTTGGCCCAGTCGTAGAGTGCCAGGACGTCTGTGGTGAAGCCGCTCTCCGAGGGGTGCCCGCTGGAGTCCCCGTAGCCTGTGGGGGGGACACACGGCTCGGTGTCATGACCCCGGGGGGGGGACCAGCCCCAGGGGGGGTCACTCAGTGAGAGGCAGAAGGTGACATTACCTCTGTAGTCGAGAGCCAGGATGTGGAAGTCAGCAGCCCCCATCACCTGTCATCCCATCGCAGTGACACCGCGTTACGTCCCGGGGCAGGAGGGATGCACCCCTGGGTCCCCCAGCGTGGCCGGGCTCGCTCTGCCCAGGGTCCCTCTTGGGTCCCCAGAGCCAGTGTGAGCCTCACCCCCAGCAGGTCCCACTCCCCTCGCAAGAGACCACTTACCTTTAAGAACTGGACACGGTGGCTCGCAGCCCTGATGGGGAAAGGGAGGTTAGAGCTCGGGGAGGGGTCTCCATTCCACGGCAAGGACAAGCTCAGGGGACCCTCCCCTCCAGTGCCGGTTCAGGTGAGGGACTGAGGTGACCTTTTCCCAGGAGGAGAGAGCTGGATGCTCTGGAGTGGGTGGGTTTGGATGTTTCCCTTTAACTCAAAGGGACTTGGGGTCAGAACCCACAGCAGCAGCCCCAGCCCCACAGCACCCCAAGGGTGCTGCACTGAGTTTGTCAGTTCTCACCCCACACAGAGGTGCTGTGCCACTACACCCGGCGCCTCCTGGGAGAGGTCCCGGCCCCGCAGCGTTGTCCACGGGTACTCACCTGGTCCCCCCGTTGCCATGCAGGTAGATGATCACAGGGTGAGCATCGGCGAGCGCATCCTCGTACCAGCGCTGGTCCTTGCCCTGCGCCTCGGCCCCTCTGCTGCCCGGCACCGTGTGCCTGGGGGCGAGCCAGAGCGGGGTTATTCCAGGGGGGCTCCACCCAGTTTGGCCAGGACACTGGCGTAGCCGTGCCAGGGCCACCCCGCTCACCAGATGCCAACCGTGACGCCTGGCTCCGTGGCAAGGTACAGGCTGACAGTGTTGTTCAGCAGCAGCTCCGGCCGCCGGAGGTCCACAAAGAAGGGAAAGGCCACTGATGGAGAAACCGCGGCCATTGTCACATGGGCAACCCAGGAACCATCATCCCCAGCTGCTTTTATGCATTTTTTTCCAAAGCAACATGCTATTTTTCTGAAATCTTTTGCCTGCAAGCCAAGGGCTGTGCCATGGCCGGCTCGGGGAGCTCTGCCACCTCCTCCCAGCCAGATTTCTAGCCCCGTCGAGGCTGTGTGTGCCCACATGTGTTGCAACTTGAGGCAGTAAACAACTCGAGGCTGCTCGGTGTGATTACAGCTTGCAAAACACGAGGCACCATCCGGAAAGGTCCCTCCGAGCCTCCTCTGCAAGTCCGTGCCAAGGCGGAGGTTGGATGGGTGCTGTCCTGGTTCCCACCCACATTTCAGGGACACTCCCCAGCCACGTGCCTGCTGAATCCCTGTGTTGGGACAGCCCCCAGGGCACTTACGGAAGTTCAGGAAGATGAATTTGGTGAGCAGCAGGTCGGGGAAGAGGCGGATGAGGAAGGGCACAGAGATGTAGATGAAGAGCAGGCTCAGGAGGAGGCTGCGCAGTCGGGGACGCCAGGACGGCCGGTTCCTGTGAGGGGTGACACCTTGTTAGCACATCCCCTCCCATCCTGCGGGCTTTGGGGCACAGCGGGGCAGGGTCCCCATTCCCAACACATCGTGATGGTTGGATACAGCGGCTTTCCCCCCTTAAGGACCTGAGGTTGCTGTTTGCATCCCCCTGGGACCTGGAACTGGTTCCCCGTGTTGGGGTTGTGTTTGGCTTCTGAGGATGGAGATGAGGTTGGGGAGCAGCCCCACCATGACAGAGTCAGGAGAGGCCACAATCCAGTCCCCTGCAGCCTCCCACGGGACACCGGCAGGCAGGAAGGACAGGGCACGTGCCAGAGCAGGGAGGTGCAAGCCAAACCGGCAATAAGGTGCGACTGATATTCTGTGGCAACACCCTGAGCCGTGGCTGGTGAGATACAGACATGGAGGTGTCCTCAAGCTTAGCACCGAGAGCCTCTGCAGCTCTCCAAGGACAAGCAGGAAAGCTGGGAAAGGGGCTCAGGGGTCTCCAGTGCATGGGAGAAACCAGTCCCCGGAGAGTTCTCCCAGTGTCACCAGCACAAGGTGGGGAGCATAACCACCTCTGACAGGTCTGGGGGATGCATCCAGCCGCCCTGGGCCGTGCCCTCTGCAGACAACCACCAGGCAGCCCCAGCCTCCGAGAGGGAAGGGAAAGCCAAGAGCTGCAGATTGCCCAGCATCAACGTCTCTTGGGGGCTGACGGTGCCGGGTGATGGGGAAACTAGTCTGGGCGTGGAGGGATTTAGGGCAGAAGTTTCTGAGAAGTGGCCAAGCACAGCACACGCCCCAGGGTCACCATCACTCCTGCAGCTGCAGATTTAGTCCATTGCCTGTCCCGGGGAGTGCTGCAAGATGCTGGAAAGGGTTGCAAAAGGGGTACCAGGGCAGGGTGGTATAGTCCCCCAGGCACAAGCACCCTTCCTGGAAGGTGCAGGGAGGCATAAGCCATGCCAGAGCCACAGGGAGCTCCTCAAACCCATCACGCCGTGAGATTTTGGTCCGAGCAGTCCTGGTGTACACCGGCAGCAACGGGCCAGCAGTGCCCTCGCAGTTGCTGCAGTTAATTATCAGGTGCTGTTCTTGGTCTGCGCTTAATATCCACATGCAGAGGCGAGCGCTCACACCCACCCTTGCACAACACCTGCTGCAGGTGAGAACTGATGGGGCCGGACCAGAGCGGGGACTTGCCCACCAAGCGGCACCTCTGGCACCCGGCACGGCAACAGGCCACCACATGGCTTCGTGGAGATGG